ACTGAGACTGGAGGAACCCCAGAAAGCATGGCCCCTGGATTCTCTATCAGCCCAGAAGTAAAACAATTTCCGAGGCCAACTCTTTAGACAGGGATTGGACTGGACTGTGGGACATAAAGTGATACTGGTGAGGAGTGTGCCTCTTAGCTCAAGTAGATACAAGAGACTAAATGGGGAGCTTCTGGCCGAAGGCGAGATGAGAGGGCAGAGAGGGTTAGGAGCTGGTTGAGTGGACATAGGGAATCAGAGATGGAAAGGAGGAGTGTGCTGTCACAGTATGGGGAGAGCAATTAGAGTCACATTACAATGTATGTATGAATTTTTGTAAGGGAAAAAAAATTTTTTTTGAAGTAAACCAAAACTTAAATGTCTGTGAAAATTTGAATAGCTTCTGTCTAGATTATCTGGCTACAAAATTCTGTTTAAGTTCATCAGAACTTTACTGTTGTCATTTTTTTGTTTGTTTTTTGTTTATCCATTCCTATTACTGGTATATAAAACAGCAGAGATGAGAGAAAATGATGGCAGTATACAAGGCAGGCATGCTTACTGCCCAGCATAATAAATACCATGTCTCCCTATGCAGCAAGGAAACCCTGGTGGTGTAGTGGTTAAGTACCACGGCTGCTAACCAAAGGGTTGGCAGTTTGAATCCATCAGGTACTCCTTGGAAACTATATGGGGCAGTTCTGCTCTGTCCTGTAGGGTCTCTATGAGTCGGAATTGACTCGACAGCAATGAGTTTTGTTTTTGGTTTTCTATGGAGCAAAGAGCAGGCATGCTTACTGCCCATTACAAAAAATTCAAGTTCCCTAAACCCACTTAGGGTTCCTTTCCAGTAACACCACCTACTGCATGCGCAGGTGTTGTCTGGCCCTCTTCATCTTGCCCTGGGGCTCAGGGAACTTGTGCAAAAATGCTCATACTCTGGCTAGTGCTATCGGTATAAGTAATGAACTATCCTCTGTTTTTGTCCCAGGAGTCTTGTGCCTTCAACCAATATCCATAAGAGTGTTGTAGACTATCCTGCTAGTTTACAAATAGCGTAAAATCTCAGACCCCTTGACATAAACTAGGTATAAATTTGTTCACAGATCTACCGGGTGATGAAGAAAGAGTAACGAGATTTGTACTACACCCTGGATGGATAAGATCCCACTCAAAGCTGTCAAATTTTTGGAACAAGTGCATTACAGCGTCAAATTGTAGTGTTGAAGAATATCGAAGGTACCATGGACTATCAGATAAGCAAATTAGTCTTGGAGGAAACACAGCCAGAATGCACCTTAGAAGTGACAATGGTACTGTGGACACGTCATCAGGAGAGACCAATCCCTGCAGAAGTACATCACGCTTGGTAAAGTACAGGGTGAGCGAAAAAGAGGAAGACCCTCAATGAGAAGGACGGACACAGTGGCTGCAACAGTGGTAACATAGCGAGGATGGTCCGAGGATGGCGCAGCCTTTTGTTCCGTTGAATATAGGATCGCTATGAGTTAAAACCAAATCAATGGCACCTAACAACCACCATCACCTAACACTGAGGTCTGGGGGGGACTCTCTGACACTGTAGGGGGCTGTTACCAGTCCTCCCATAAGCAAGGTGCCATCTGCTTTATTCCCGAGCACTTTTGTTTTTAATGTCTGGGTGACGTGAACGACCGGAGCTACCGGAGCTCCTGGTTCCTCAAAGGAGGCCTCCAGTGCGGAGCCGGCAAAGAGTTAAACCGCCCGCTTGTGGGCGTCCTCCGCCCGCCCGCCCGTCTGTCCGTCCGTCCGTCCGTCCGTCCAGCCCGTCCCTCCGCCCGCGGCAACGGCAGCTCCCAGGAAGGGCATCCAGGCTGGAGGCCGCTGCGGGCGAAGGTCGCCGAGACCCGCTCGCCGCCTCTCTCACGCCGCGGCCTGCCCCCTGGGCAGGGCGTAGAACGGCTCCTCCCGGGCGCCGGCGTGGGCGCAATTCCCGAGTCCCCCGTGACGCCTCGACGCGAGGAGGTGGGTGAGCGCACGCCGGTACAGGGCACGCGGGTTCCGCCGCGGGGTGGGCCGCCCGCCGCCCCGAGCGCCCGACGGCGCCGCCGGACGGCCGACCGCCCGTCCAGTTACCAAATACTAGGGAATGAATGCAGCAAGACCAGGACCTCTGTGAGAAAACGGTAGAACTCTTTGAGAGGCATAAAGTAGAATTTGAACGAGTGGAAAGACATCATGCTCTTGACCGAGAAAACATAGTATCATAAAAATGTCAATTCTTTAAATTAATACACAAATTTAATGCAACTCTAATCAAACTCTGAAGAGTTTAAGGTTTGGATTTTTTGTTTTGAGTTTTGATTTTTGGAATTGGATAGATGATCTTTAAGTTTTTATTAAAGAGAACAGAATAGCCAAGGAAAGTTGGGGTAAAAGAAATGATGGAGGATCTTTCCTACTAGACGCTAGAATATATTCTAAAGCCATTGTAATCAAGCCAACATGGCATAAGAATATACAGGTAGATCAGTGGAATCCATTTGTCCTTACTGTAAATATATGGGGATTCATATTGACAAAGGTATTGTTTCAAAGAGATGGAAAATAGCGTATTATTTTTTAACTGATGCTGGCATAACTGGCTAGAACTCTGTTGTTGTTGTTAGGTGCAATGGAGTCAGTTCCTGAGTAGAACTGCCCCAGAGGATTTCCAAGGAGCAGCTGGTGGATTTGAACTGCCAGCCAGCTCTTAACCACTACGCCACCAGGGCTCCAGCTAGCACTAGAAGAAAAAGAAATTGAATTTCTGTCTTAGCACCATATAAATAAACTAGCAAAAAAAAAAATTAATTCTGTATAGAATAAAAACAATACACATCTTGCAAGAAAATATAAGATACCACATGTATAATTTAGGGGCAGAACAGACAGTAACAAAGCTGAAAGTCCAAAAGCTATAAAGGAAAGATAAACATTTTGAATACACAGAAATTAAAATCATTTGGGGGAAATAGATAATCAAAGTGTATATATAATACTAAATTTTGAAAAATATTTTTAAAGCAGAGAAAGAATTATTTGATTAAGATCCCTAACATACAAAGAGCTCTTACATTTTGACAAAAAGAGATTAGGCAATAGAAAATTGGGTTGTTCTCAGATAAGCAAATTCAAATGAAAACAAACAGGCAAAACTGCTCAAACTCAGTGGTAGTCAGGGAATTGCAAATTAAAGTAACAATGAGATGATCCTTTTACTAGAAACCTGGCAAAAATAAAAAAGACGTATGACACCTACTTATACGGATATGGGGAAAAGAGTATGTACTCTCCTATACGACTGATTGAAATGTCAGCTGTAGAGCCTTTTTGGAAAGTCCTCTGGCAATAACCAGCAGTTCCTTTCCTGGGGATCTAGCCCATAGAAACAAAAGTCCTGACGCTTAATAATGTTTTTAAAAACCTGTTGTCATCGAGTTGATTCCGACTCATAGCAACCCTGTAGGACACAGTAGAATTGCCCCATAGGGTTCCCGAGGAGAGGCTGGTGGATTCCAACTGTCGACCTTTTGGTTAGCAGCGGTAGCTCTTAACCACTGTGCCACCAGAGTTCCACTTAAGAATATATGTCCTATGAAGTTTAGTAAAGCATTATTTGAACTAGCAAAAATAAAACCAGCACAAAGTGAATGTTTATCAATAGGAAAATAGTTGAATAAATAGTGGCTCCCCCCCCACCAACCATGGAATGTTACACAGCCATTGGAGCCCTGGTGGTGCAGTGGTTAAGAGCTCCGCTGCTAACAAAGGGTCTGCAGTTCGAATACACCAGCCGCTCCTTGGAAACCCTACAGGGCAGTTCTACTCTGTCTGATAGGGTCGCTCTGAGGCGGAATCGACTCAGTGGCAACGCATTTGGTTTTTCTGGTTTATCTTGAAGAATGAATTAGAGATACAGTGGTTGACTGGGACGAATTTCAGTGCAATATTATTGAATAAGAAATGCAAGATGGAGACAATGTTGTTAGATGCTGTCCAGTCTGTTCTGACTCAGTGACCCCATGTGACAGAGTAGAACTGCCCCATAGGGTTTTCTTGGCTGTAATCTTTTTGGGAGCAGATCACCAGGTCTTTCTCCTGTGGAGCCGCGGGGTAGGTTCAGACTGCCAACCTTTGGTCTAGCAGCCTAGCACTTAGCCATTGCACCCCCAGGGCTCCTAAGATGGAGATAAGAGTGTCTAATATGATTCTGGTTTTGTAAAACAATATATGTTTATACATGTGTGCTTGTTTTTTTATATGATTAAGTATGCATAAGGAAAAGATGAAAGGATGTCAATTAAGTTATTCACATAAGTTGCCCTGGTGGTGAAGGTGGAGGACATATAGTAGAAGGGAAGGAGAATGAGGGGGGAAACAACCAAAGAACTAAAGAGAAAAACTGCATTAAAAAATATATATATATGCATTTTTGTAAATTTGTGTGTATTTTTGTAATTTTGCATATTTAGTATTTTTAAAAAGATGGGGCGAGGGAGAGAGAAACTCTTACTATGTTTTCCATGTTGAGATACTTGAGTATTATTAACAGCAATGTATTTCCCTTGTTCATAGGAATCTTAGTAAATCTGATTAATTCAGGCATTTGCTGATTTCTTTGGATTTTATAGTCGTCGATGATGTCACATTTTTTTTAGTTTCATCATTCCAACAGCCACTTCTTAGTTGTTTTTATTTTTTTTTAATGTCTTAATATATTATCAATACTTTCAAAACAATAAGTGGAAATTGGTGAAAATAGGCCTTCTTGTATTATTTCTGAATTGAATAGAATACCTCTGGAGCACAGGTCACAAGACTCAGATGTGTATGGAGCAAGGCTTGTCATTTAACACAGTCAAGTGTTCTGGAAGCGCCCCCTTGTGGAAGCTGCATTACCGGGCATTGCAATGTTCAGTGCAACTAATTTAGAATTGTTTCAATACAGTGTGTGGGCCAGATATAGTAGTGGGGCTGCTAGTTTACGGCCTCTACACTATGGTGGCGCAGTGGTTAAAGCACTTGGCTTCCAACCTAAAGGTCGGCGGTTGGAACCCAGCAGTGGCTCCACTGGAGAAAGACGTGGCATTCTGCTTCTGTAAAGATTTACAGCGTTGGAAACCCCATGGGGCAGTTCTACTCAGTCCTATAAGGTCACTATGAGTTGGAATCAATTCTACGTCAATGGATTTAGTTTCTTTTTAAGTATTCTAAAATTTTGCTATTAAGTACAATGCTGACTTAACTATTTAAGGTAGTTATTTTTTTTCATTATCTTACCAAACCAACAAAACCCATTGCCATCGAGTCGATTCCAACTCATAGCGGCCCTGTAGGACAGAGGAGAACTGCTCTATAGGGTTTCCGAGGAGCGGCTGGTGGATTCGAGCTGCCCACCTTTTGGTTAGCGCCTGAGCTCTTAAGCACTGTGCCACCGGGGCTCCTTTATGTTACCAGGTGAATGCTAACAGTTGTTTTGGTTCCACAGCAGCTGCTGATGTATTATTACATGTACCATTTATCCATGTGTTGGTTGGAAGCCCATATATGCTTGATACAAAAGTAAAAAATTAACCATAACTGCCACAGCCTCCACCAGACTGAGTCCAGCACAACTAGATGGTGCCCGGCTACCACCACCAACTGCTTTGACAGGGATCACAATACAGGGTCCAGAGCTGGAGAAAAATGTAGAACAAAATTCTAACTCACAAAAAAAGACCCGACTTACTAGTCTGATGGAGACTGGAGAAACCCTGAGAGTATGTCCCCTGGACACCCTGAAGTACTGAAGTCACTCCTGAGATTCACCCTTCAGCCAAAGATTAGACATACCCATAAAACAAACAATAATACACGTAGCTGAACCATGTATACGAGACTAAATGGGCATACCAGCCCAGCAGCAAGGACAAGAAGGCAGGAGGGGATGGGAAAGCTGGACGATGGAAATGGAACCCAGAGTTGAGAAGGGGAGAGTGTTGATGCGTCGAGGAGTTGGCAACCAATGTCAGAAAACAATACGTGTATTAATTGTTTAACGAGAAACTAATTTGCTCTGTAAACCTTCATCTAAAGACAATAAAAAAGTCAAACATTATTGGGATGATATTGACAGCTACATAGTGGAAGTTAAAGCTTCTAGTAAACTACCGTCAGATAATATATCTGCCTGCTTTATAGCTCAATAAAAATTATTGACCATTTTAGAAAGGAAAAATGGCCTTAGTAAAGATTTGGGATTACTTTGGTTTAATTTTTTGTTTCAAGGAAATTTTCTAATGTTCTTAGCAGAAGAAAAATAAATAGGTAGGTAGGTAGATAATTAAGGAACTTCAAAAGTGGTATAGATCACACAACCTAGAGAAATTTTTATTGTTTTAAAGTCTGCTGAATTTTTGGAAACTAATCTTTTTTTTTTTAATATTTTATTGTGTTTTTGGTGAAATTTTACACAAGAAATTAGGTTCTCATTTAAAAATTTCTGTACATATTGTTCAGTGACATTGGTTACGTTCTTCACAATATATGGAATCTAATCTTGTAGGAGCCCTGGTGGCACAGTGGTTAAAGCGCTCAGCTGCTAACTGAAAGGTCAGTGGTTCAGACCCACCAGCTGTTCCACAGGAGAAAGATGTGACAGTTTGCTTGGAAACCCAATGGGGCAATTCTGCTCTGTCCTATAGGGTTGCTATGAGTCAGAATCCACTTGATGACAATGGGTTTGAGTTTTTTGGGTTTTTTTTTTTTTATCTTCTTGCAGACTTAGGAAAATGAAACTGTCCCTATTGGCCATCTAGCGAACCGTTACCTATCTTGGCAGCAAGGCATTTGCTGAGTTCTTAATAAGAATAGTCAGAAACCTAAGGGCCTCCCAGGGGCAGGCATCAGTAAGGCAGCAGGACAAGTGACCCCGACAGGGAGTAGTAGAGACAGTGGCAAATGAGTGAGCACAGTCTCTCTAAGCTAGTTTCTACTGTGTATCACCAGCCCACTGTGGTTCTGCGGCAAAGCGAGCAATGTGGCCAGATTTCCCAGTATCTCAAGAGAAGTCAGAAATCCGGATTTTTTTCTATAGAACTCCCCGATTTTTAACTTATGTATGCAAATTTATAGGACAGGGAATGGCATTC